TAACTATTCAGTCATAAAAAGAGGAAAATTCTGCTATTTGCAACAACCCCCATGAAACTGGAGGACATTCTGTTCAATAAAATAAGCCAGGCAACACAAAGACAAAGGTCACATGATTTCAATTGTACATGGAATCTAATAAAGCTGACCTATAGGAGTAGAGAACAGAATACTGTATTACTAGAGGCTGGGAAGCAGGAACAGAAGGAATGGGCAGCTGTTGATCAAGGAGCACCAGTTTCAGACAGAAAGGGTAGGTTCAATATCTGTTGTATGGCAGGATGACTTTAGTCAGTAATAATGAATTGTGGATCTTCAAAATAACTACAAGAATACTTCAAATGTCTAACCATAAAAAGTGTTCAGTAAACTTAGTGATAGATATGCTAATTAACTTGATTTAGCCATACCACATCGTATACAAGGATCAATATACCACATTTTACCTGGTAAACGTAGAGAATAGTAATATGTCAATAAAAGTAACAGTAAGGAAACATAACAAAATAAAAAAATAAATTAAGTTCCTTATTCTAAAAATTATTTTGTAACTGAACCACTTGTCCCCTCACTAATTTCTTTTTAAGAAAAGTTTCCTTCAAATAGTACACATAGTTACTTCCCAAGCTCATTAAAAAGTAATCAAGAAATGGAAAAGCCATTCACTTTACCTTCCCATTAACCCATTGAGGCCCCGAAGACAGACATCAATGATCCACCTCATAACTGCAGCAATCAAACTATCTTTTTAAATGGCTCTGAGCTCTTGTCGGAACTGGGGAGCCAAGGCTGCCCACAGAAATCAGTGGCATCTGCTGCCGCTCCTAGCAACAGTGAGTCCAGGCTCAATCAGGCCTCACCACAACAGGGAACTGGCCTCTCCCTGCCACCTCCCAACACCAACAACAAAGGAATCAGCAGCTTCCCATGTTCCCAACCCCTTTCTAGTTCCATTTTTGTTCAAAAGAGCACTGGCTGCCTTGGAAAGCAAGCTTCCAGAGTCAATTTTCAGCACTATGAGAGAAGGATTAGGATGAAATAGAATCCAACAGGTAAATCCCCAAGTACAATATTGAAAATTTATCCCTTTGTGTCACTGCTAAAAACTGGCAGCCACCTCCACACCTTCTTGGAAGTGGCTGCCTATAGAGTCTACAGCAGCTTTCAAACAGGATGGCAAACCTCAGATACTGTGAATGGAAAACCCACAGTTTATTTAAAAAAAAAAAAATCATGTCTACTCAAATTCAGCCATAGATGGCATAAAAGAACTGTTGGGGGAGTTGGGCTTTTTATTTTTGTTTTTGTTTTTTAAGAAATGATTTCTGTCTAAAGTTCAAAGTGATTTCAGAATCAAGATACAGAAAATTAAGCCTCTTCCAAAAGGTTTAAAAGCTCAAGTTTAGTGCTGCCTCAGCAAATACAGTGTTTGCTATGCTTTGGAGTCTCCAAACCAGCATGCACATTTTAAAGAGGAGCATTTAAATGACCCAGAAAGACGTCTCCTGTGGCATAAGTGCAACCTGTTCAGAATATGTATTGAGACTTTGGTGAGGGGGTGGTAGGTCACAGATTCATGCTACTACCCACAACCTAATGGGTAAAAAAAAAGTCTCAAAATAAAGGCACACTCATAGGGACTGGAGCAATCCCCAGGAAGTCTGTTAAGGGACTTGGAGTTTCTCTGTCGGTTTTTAAATTTTCATTCCTTCCTAGACATAAGCTATTAACTGGATTTAAAAATCATTTGGAAGCCATTTCACAAGTGATCCCTGGTAGGAAACAGCATATTCAAGGTCAAAGTCAAAGAATCTCTTTTTATCCAATACAGAACATATTTCACCCTGGCAACTCAGCAGCCCAAGGACTCGACTGCTAGCTTCCTTCTGCCCTAGCCCCTCAGGCCCAAGCTCCCTCAGGCTTGCTTTGGCTGATAACTGTAGGAGAAAAAACAAAACAGTATGGGGGCAGCATGCATATCATTATTTTAGAGCAAATATCAGGTCTTGTTACCTGCCCCATAGCCAGCACTCACTCTAATATTGCTGCAGAGCCCTTTCTCCTCCATAACTGTCTGCTGAGTTGCCCAGACAAAGCAGTTCCCCAGCGTGTAGTGACCCACCGTTCATGCCACTGTAGACGTTCCGGTGATGCGGTGAGGCGTCCTCTTGTGCCTGCCGTCTGAGGGTGCCCTCCCTGCTGCCCCCTCCGCTGCCTCCGCTGCCTCCGCTGCCTCCACTGCCTCCTACATGTTTGTGGTCAGGGCTGCCCCCGTAATGCTGTTTGAGATGCTCTGGGCTGGTGCCCCTGGCTCTGGGAAGGTGCTCCAAGCTCCCACCAAGGGCATGTTTCTGAAGATGCTCCGGGCTCCCTCCACTGTGCCTGCCATGTTCTGGGCTACCCCCTGGCCTGTGCTTCTGGAAATGTTCAGGGCTCCCACTCAGCACATGTTTGGGCAGCATTTCTGGGCTGCTCCCTGGATGCGGGTGCCTCTGCTGCTCGGGGCTGCCCTTGCACAAAGGTTTGTGGTGCTCAGGACTGGGTCCTTTCAGTGCTTTGGGGTGATCTGGGGTCCCGGAAGCCCTGGGTTTCTGTAGATGTTCCGGGCTGGTGCTCCTGTGTTTGGGGTGCTCTGGGCTGCCTTCACCCCTGGATTTCTGCAGATGCTCAGGGCTGCCCCCGCTTGCATGGTGCTTGTGGTGGTCTGGGCTGTCGGTGCTGCCAGTGCTGGAGGTACTGCTGCCATCGCCCACATCTCGCACATAGGGCGCAGTGGAGGCCACCAGCTGGCACAGACTGGCCTGGCTGTCGATGGAGCAGCGGCTACCGGCACATCCGGCGCCTTTCTCCTCGTCCAGCAGCACGCAGAGCTCCTTGAGCTCCATGTTCTCCTTCACCACCTCCTCCTGTTTCACCTCGAGCTCCTTCAGCTTCTGCAGGTACAAGGCCACTTCCTTGTGCATCACTCCAGCTGTGTATCGGCCTAATCTCTGCCACTCTCGGGACACCCTCTTGCCTTTCTGCCGGTCATCATCCAGGAAACAGCAGAGGTCCCTCAGTTCCTGGTTGTCCTCCTGGAGTTTCTGGTTAATGTCCTGAAAGGAGAGACAGGCATTCAAAGGAGGTAGACACAGGTGATGGCATCAGGCCCAGATTTCCCCTAAGGAAGGTGCCTAGAACTGGAGAACTGCCTAGTGTGTGGGGTGAGAGGTAGCAGAATGCTGAAGGTTTGCAGCTATGGAATGAAAGGTAAACTAGTAGGTATTAGTTATGCTCCGGGTAGAATAGAAAACTTGCGTTATTTTATCCACTTTTTCACCATAGCACTTAGGGGATGATAATGATTCTTCTACAGGGGACACTAGGCCTTACAAAGTTTCACTTGACCAGTATTTAAGGAGTAGCCAGTGAATAAACAGGAAATTAGTCATGAGACAAGGTTTCCCTGCCCACCCTAAAGAAATAACAATGGCCAACATAATTGCTCACACAGGTAATTCCAGTACCCAGCACCACAGAGGCTGAGCAGGACCCTCCCTGGAAGTTGAAGGCCCACCTGGATAGCATAGAGTTTCAGGCCAGTCTGGGCTATAGAACGAGACCTTTGAGAAAGAAAGAAGAGAGAAAAAGTAAAGAAAAGGGAAGAGAAGAGAAAGAAGGAGGAAGAAGTTGCCTGTGACATGCATAGGTGTTCTGAAGCAGGAGAGCTTTCAACAAAGCCAGCAAAACACTGCTTAAGGTTTTCAGACCTCAGCATGTGATAGGAACAGTCCCCAGTCACCACCACCACCACTACCACCACCACCACCCAGGGAAAGGCACAATCGCCCTCTAGTGGCATTTCAGTCCTGCATCTCCACCCTTACTGGCCACACTCACCTGGACATCACCCAGGCACACTGAGCTGTTGATATTCTAATATTCTTTCCCAAATTGCTCCCCTTAGCAAATGCCACCTCCAGCTGCTCCTCTGCTCTTTACAGGAACACAGGGGTAGCCCTGGCATCTCCTCCCTCACCTTTCAAGAAGCCTGAGCCAAACAAGTCTTAAGCCTGGTATGGTAGCACACACCTTTAATTCCTGCACTCCAGAGACAAAGGCAGGCAGATCTCTATGAGTTCAAGGCCAGCCTGGTCTACGCAGTGAGTTCCAGGCCAGCCCAAGTCTTTAGAACTTGGATGTCCAAAACTTAATCTTCTTACTCCCCTGTTAAGAACTCTTCAGATGTAGTGCAAAATCTCTCAACTCTCACAAGGCTTCAAATGCTCTGTTTATGTCTCCAGTATGAATAATTCATTCTAGTGAAGAGGGGTATTAAAAAGCAAGTCTAGGGGCCAGAGAGATGGCTCATCTGTTAAGGGTGTTCTTATATATAAGGCTGTTCTTATAGAGGATTCAGGTTTGGTTCCACATGGTGGTTAACAACACATCAGTAATTCCAGTTCCAGGGAATCTGATACCCCCTTCTGGCCTCTGTGGTTACTGGACACATGTGGTGCACTTAGATATATGGTAAACACTCATACATAAAATGAGAATAAATAGAGATTTTAAAAGCAAGCCTAAAAGGCAATAGCATGTAATGGAAAATGCTAGGGGTAAAAATTAAGCAGTTCAGAAGAATTACATTTTAAAGAGAAGGCACTTCTGCAGGGAAGAGATGCATTTGATCAAAGATCTGGGTGAAATTAAGGAGTGAAAGATGATTCCAGGAGAGACCTGGCAAGTACAAAATTTCTAAAACAGTGGACACCGATGGGGAGGCCCGTGGCCTGGTTCAGGTGGAGGAGATGCCAATGGCTTAGACACCCAGAAGTAGCAAGATGACCACCACACACAGAGAAGCCAATCCTGATCCCACCAGCCATTACCCTCTCTCCTCCCAATGCTTTCCTCATGTCTCTACACAACTATCAGGCCTCATTTTACATCCCTCACCCATAGGAAAGCCCACCTCAACCTGAAGAAGCCTAAAGAAGGTCTACTTCTTCCCCTCAGACCTTACTTGCACTGATTACAATGTAACCACATATAAGCGTGCCTGTTCATCTCTATCACCTCATATATTCCCTTACCCTGTGCATCCATAACACAATACCCCCATATAGACACCAGAAACTTGGTACACCATTCTTTTTCAACTCATACCTATAGCAAAAGAAGCACCATGGTTTGATATGGAGGAAATGAGGGTTAGTCCTAGAGAGGCTACCTAAGGCTAACCCTGCTTTACGAAACCTGAAAAACTCTGGACTTGCAACTCCATCACCCAATCCAGAACTAAAGTACTCAGAGAATGAACTTAACTTATTTTAAACCTTGGTTGATACCGACACTACCCTTGATATTAGCTAGAAAACAAACTTTAAACCGTCTGTTACCCATGCCCTGTACTTCTGATGGTTGAAAGGCTAGAGGTGGAAGGAAACTTTGAAGCCAGAGGAAGGTACCAGGGCAGCTCATTCAACTCCAGCTCTCACTCAGCACTCCCAGCAATTCTGCCCCACTCTGGCCAATGCTTGTCTCTTCTGCCTGCTTCTTATGGCCATGTTAAGCCTTCCCTGTGCCACCGGCCTCCTCTACTTGCCCTCAGCCCCTGCCTTCATCTGCCATAGTCCATTTTCCCTCACTAACTCTGATCTAAGGACTCCTTGGCCAGACTGGTCTTCACAAAAACACTTTCTTCATGTTCAACCCCTCCTAACTACTTTGCCAGGGAATATGAATTAATCCTTTGGCCAGGGCTGCCTTTCTACCTGATTATGTCTATGCATTCCAACCAGAAAATCTCTTCCTCTCACCAATATGAACTTACACAAAATGAGAGATTTCTCTGATAAATGTGCCCTAGCACTAGAGTACTACCCATGAACGAGATGACTCTCCTAACCAAGGCGTAATGCCTTTGACACACTTGAGCTTTCATTGGACATCAGCTTCATCCCCTCTCATGGAGGGAGCTGGCAATGTGGAAAGCAGACGTCTGATGGTTCTGTATAAGCAACATAATTACCATAGTACTTTGCATACAGTGGACACTTAATATGTGTTTATGGACTCATCAATTCTTTAAAGCCCTAGGCCTATGGTCTACACAAGCTAGGGCTGTAGCTACTAAGAAAGGATTTCATACTGTTTTCAGCCAGTTTCTGCTATGTTACTGCTTTAGAGGGAATCAGAGGTTGCGGATATTCAGAGAAAATAATACCAACCAAAATCAATCTTGATAAACTTCAAAAGTCATTCAACATTTAGTTCCATCCTGGCATTTGACAGGAAGTTCAAGTCATGTTCTTCATCTGAATGAATTTCCATCTGAAAACACTTGGATTTGTCTGCTGCAGCTACTCCTGACTTAGCCAAAACTAAAGGACTGGCACTATCATGGGCTTTTCCTTAGGAAGCCAAAGGGATGCTTCTCAGTATTCCAGAGGGGTGGGTGGGCAGGCTGGCCTGGGCCCATTCACATTTATCACAGCTCTTTCCTATTACTAATTTTCTTGGGAATATTATTTCTCTCTGATTCTAAGCTATTTTCTTCACCCTCTGATGAACAGCTAAGCAACCAGCTTGAATTAATAACCTTGTGAGCCAGCTCCTTCAAAATGGCAGGGTCCATATTGAGGTCACTGGAGTAAAGACCTCCAGGCAATGAACCATCCATATCACCCCTCCCCAGTTCTTGCCTAGATCCCCACAGTCCACATATCCTACAATAATTTCCACAGAGTTATTGAGTTATTATGTTTATTCTCCTAATGACTGAAATCTCTAGGAAATGAATGAATGAAAAACTCTTCCAAGCCATGTTATATTTCAAACTATGGAAGAAGACTAAATTGGAGCATAAAAAATGAATCCTGTTGCCTAAGAAAGTCAGATTCTGGAGACACCCATGGCTATCTGTTTATGCTTTCTCCTGATGACGGTAACTACCATATTTTGTAGTGAATTCCAATATTAAACCTTCCCCTACATTGCTGTAGCTTATTCTCACAACACCCTAGGAAATACCTTATTATTCATATTTTGTTAAGGAATAAAATGTGGATCTGAGAAATTAATTACCCAAGTTCACCTCCCTGGCAGATGAGGATTCTCAATTTGAACCATTTTTTGAAATCGTCTCCCACGCTTCTAGCCTGCCTCTCAATTCCCTAGGGAGCCTGGTACTTAATAAATACTCCATTAGTAATGAATTAAAACAAGAGAAAGAACCAAGCCCTGGGATTTTGACTGTGGGAGTATTCCCAACTTCACCCACTCTGGGGATTATGTGGCAGTGGGTTTGGACCTGAGGGAGCAATCTCGCTGGAACCCCCACACAGGTGAGCCTGGGACATCCAGACCCTCCCACTCCCCTGAGTCCCAGAATCCCAAAGATGGATCCCTGGGGCAATTAAGGAACAGCTTCTATTGCCTGACTCCCAATGGGAGTGAGAGTGGGAGTGGAAAGAGACAGGAACAGTTTGTGCCTGCGGGATTTGCTCCTTGAGGTTCTGGCATTGATTTCGTTTGTGTCTGGCTTCCTATAAACAAAAGCAGAACAATGAGAGGAAGGAATACCAGGAGGCACCCGGTGAGCTGTACTAGAGGAAGTTTGCAGTGCATGCCGGCTGGGCGGTTCCTGGCCATCGGGTCCACTAGAGTCTGGCACAGCTGCTGACAGGCAGAGCTCTCCAAGGAGAAAAGAAAGTTCGTGGGGTTTCGGTCCCCTCTATCGTAACAGCACAGGGAGATCTGGCTCAAAAACAATGCATCACTAAGGACGCATACCAGCACCTTCTACACTGAGTCCCTTGCCCACACCCATGCGGAATAAAACTAATAACCAACTGGCAGGGAATTGAGCAGGCGAGTGAAGCAACTCCAGGTCACGCCAAGAGAAGTAGGGGAAGGAAATCTCGGGAGCTGGTTGGTGAAAGGCTTAAAAGCAGAATCTAAGCTCCTCTGCACCCTGCACAGGGTCTCAAACACAGGCTCCTCTGGTGGTGGCGCCCGAGGCTTCTCTCCTGGCATCTCCTGTTCTCCACCGCGGTGCCCTTTCTTTGCCCTCTGCTAGCCAGAGAGCTAGTGGCGCCAGAGCAGCTACACCCCGACCCCTAAAGGCGAAGAAGGTCTGTGCTCTCTAGCTCTCTAGTCTTTTCGCCTTGGTAAATGTAACTTAATTTCCAAAATCACCGACTTTCCGGGGTCCTTAGGAAATGAAAGGTTCCAAGCGCTCATCTTCTCCCTCCCTGACTTTCGGCATCCTTAGCTCCTGCTAGTCTAGTCTTAGAAGACGCCAGCGCGCCCCGCATTGGGAAACGAGGGGGAGCAAAAGACTCCAAAGTTTGGAAAACTTTCCTAAGGGCATGAGATGGAGGCAAGGGGTACCGACTGGGAGAGGGGATAAGCTCACCTGTTGGAGCGGAAGTTTGCCTGCCCCCCGCCTCCCCCGGGTGCCCGGCTCCCGGTCCCCAAAGCCCAGCCTGCTCGCCAGGCCCTGTGCTCACCTTGAGCCCTCGAATCTCGCCGAGGTGCAGCTGCAGGCGGCGGTTGACCTCGCGGATGAGGTTGCTGTGGTCCAGCATCGCGCTCACCTTCTCGGCCTCGGCGCGCCTCAGGCTGCGGATCAGCTCCTCCTTAGTCCACTGCAGCAGCTCCTCATCCGACACTTTAGACAGATCTTCCACGACAGCGGCGGCCGAAGAGCTGGCGGGGGCCGAGGGACAACTTTCCGCCGCCGGCGCCGCGCCTGCAGCCGCCTTCGACATGGTATCCGCGGTGGCAGGTGCGTGTGGGTGGAAGAGGCGAAGCGACACGCGAAGGCGCTGGCGCGGCTGTGCGGCCTCCGCCCACACCCCTATGCGCTGGGAGAGTCAGCGGCACCGCCCGGGGACCGCTGCCTGGGTACCGCGGGGATCACGCCGCAGAGCCATCCTACCTCGCCATCCCTGCGCGCGCACCTGCCAACCCCGGAGGCCTGACAGCCAGCAACGGGCGGCTGCCGTGGCCCGTCCCAACTCCGCGCAAGTCCATGGTGAAGGACGCTGGGAAGCGGTGGGGACACCCAGAGGGCTGCGCCTCAATCCCCTGCCCTCTCCAACGCCCTCATCGAGACTGTCGCCCCCCCACGCTCTGTCACACACGCGCGCGCACGCACACGCCCTTTCCTCCCCCTTGCCCAGATGCCGCCCCAGGCTCTGCTGCTCTCTAACCCCCAAGAGCGCACCGGACTCCGGCTTCCCCCGCGGCTGGAGCAAGGGGAGCGGCTGCCCTTCCCCAAGGCTGCACGCGGCGGGCGGGCTGCGATCCCCCGGCCGCCTCTCCTAAACTGCTCCGGAAGAGCGCAGCCCGGGAGGGGAGAGGGTGGGGGAGCCGCAGGAGGAGGAGGAGGCTGGCGCCCCGGACGCCCGCATCCCGCAGCACCTCCCGCACCGGGCAGAGGCGGCTGCCGCTCGGCTGCCACTGGGGTCCCTGAGCGGTCTGCGCTGTCGCTTGGAAGCGGGGTAGGGCCGGGGGCGCGGCTCAGCGAGCTCCGGGATGCAGGCGGGGCTGGAGTCTGGAGCAGGTGCTGAGCTGAGAGTTGCTCTGACATTGCGAGGCTCGCGCGCGCCACCGTGTGACCGAAGACGTTCCAGCCACAGCCCCTCTCCCCACCCCATCCCCGCCCCAACCCCCA